GAAAAGGTAAGAAAAAGCCGGATTTTCTTCTTGGCCTAGTGTTAAGATTTAACTTTTACAAGAATGAAACCCGTGGACTGCGTCAACATGAATATCATATACAATCCAACTGGCTGCAGTACGAGTTTCATCCGTCCTCATCTGGTGAGATCAACCAACGAATCTCTTCTTCACGCACATTCATACAAAATGAAGGTCCCTCTAATAATCCATATTGGATGTGAAAGTAGTGGTGTAGACAAAACAAAGGGAAATTTAATGGAATTATGAGGTTTTATGCTCATTGTGATGTGGGCCAATTCAAATATCGGCCTTTTCATGACCTTAAGCGAATTATGATGATTAATTTTTTGTCAATAGCAGTCACGGTATCAAATGCGATTTAGAGAATCGAAGGTTGGGTCGGCTCTAAGATCTGGTAACAACCATTAGTGGATGTCCGACGGCATAGATGCCTTGTACTTCACGCGACAGAATCGAACAAAAATTCGGTATCGATGAATTGCCAAAGAGAAGATTGTTATGGTGATATTCATTTATGCGAAGAAATGTTGGGTTTTGAGGAATCTCTTGTTTTATAATTTTTGAGCTTAATTCAATTTCGAGTGGAAGTGTTGCGTGAAGAGATTCGAAGGTCGGTTCCACCAGAAGACGACATCGGATTCCTCTTGACCAACTGTCGATTGGCTTTACTGGAACATTCATGCTGACGCTGATTCCGTGGCAATCTGCTTCGATTTTGTTGAAAATGTGCTAAGCTTTCGTCCGTCATGTGACGAATATCATCAGAGCAAGGTAGCATCATCACAATAAAATTCAAGCTAACCAGTCAAGAAAACTTGCCAGCAAATCCGGTAGTATTAGTAGTAGTAGTAGTAGTAGTACTAATAGTAGTAATTAAATAAAATGTTTCTCCTTATACTTCTTTCTAGTTTTCTTGACTCGTTAGCTTGCATTTTGTTGTGACGATGATACCTCGCTCTGATGATGTCCGTCATATGACACCAAACAGGAAAACTTAGCACCTTTTCACCGGAATCGAAGGAGATTGCCTCGGAAACAGCGCCAGCATGAATGTTCCAGTAAA